AGAAAGAAACTTTAGTTGCAGCCTTAAATAATTAAATCTTAAGCATATTTATGGTCAGACATCTTATGTTAATATACTACAATAAGTAAAGAATCCACACAACAAAGAGAGCTGGAGATGTGATATATAATATCAGGTTTCTTAAGACATCATGACTGATACTGGAATCTAACTACTGGTTCAGTGAAATGAAAACAGAAGAGGAGTATTCGTCTTTAACCTCAGAATGACAATGAAGTGTGCTCCATAGTGCTGAATCGAATCTTTGAGGATAAGGAAGAATCCACCAGCTCCACTTGCAGAAGTAGGTCAGGCAGACGCCCACAGTAAGCAACTACAGGTTAAGTGCTTGTCTTTGTATTCAGACACAGCGAAGATCAGCCTTGGCCTCTGGATAGGGGTGGGAGGGGGGGTCTGTGTACTGCGTCTACCCACAAGAGGGAGACAAATCCCCAAAAATGCATTGAGGGCAGTTAGTTAGCCATTACTCCTCTTAATTCCAACAGTGTCACATTATTAAACTTTAATCATGTAGCCACAGACCAAAATATAATGCTTGTGTTCATCTGAAGCACAACTTTTTCACAAAAATATGAGATTATGAATGAAACGAGACAGAGACGGATGACAGACAAAAACAGACAGAAGTAAAAGAAAAGTCTGCATGGAACAAGAACAGACCCCAGCGTTAACCCGGCTCCAGTGCTCTGCAGTGTGAGGTAGTTGGTTGTATGGTTTCGCATAATAAACAGCCATGGAGATAACTGTACAACCTTCTAGCTTTCCCTGCGGTGTCACCCAGACTTCATGCGAGTGCCATCACCCTTAATGGCCCTTGGATTGGTAAGTACGAAGACTGATCTGACAAAGGTGTAAAATTGACTGACTTTTAATTGTATTCATATATTTTAACAGTTTTACCGCTACCAGTAATGTTAAACATGACAAACGAAATGAAAATGATGCCAAATAGTTTTTAGAGTTAAATTAAACAAATTAGTTAATTAATTTTATTTACATGTAACAGAGTATATTCTTTATAGTTTAATACATTTGAATATTATTTTTAGCTCTTACTTTTTATGGACTGTTTTATTAAAGGTCTGGTGGATATTTCTTTTTGCATTGATTGACAAAAGAGATGTACGGACAGTCACTACTGTAGAGATCAAATCCATTATCAATTCTGGAATAATCTAACATTTCTCTTTCAACAAATTCAAATTCTAGCCCATAATTATAATTACATGAAAACAAGCTACAAAACAGTTTCTGCACTGACTTTAAATCTAAAACATCTGAAATACTAATCAGGTTTTGCTGTTGAGGTCCATCTAATCCACACATCAATATACCCACCTTGCTCTGCAGTGCTCTTTGATTTGTTATTTGGTGCAGTCCAATGGGGTATGGAGCCAACTATCAATAGCTGTTTGTTTCGGTGCGTTCTTAGCATGCCATGCACAAAAACACAGAACATCTCTTCAGACGACATTACGCCGGAATGTGATCGGTAACATTAAAACCAGGAAAACAGAAGGAAGGAAAACCTTTTGAGGGCTCATATTTTAAATACTTTTATTGTCGGTCAGGGGTTAATTTGTTTGTATTGTATATAAAGCTTGGATCCACCCCCCATGATTTCAACAGTTAGAAAATATACAATTTAAACTGCTGTATGTTACGGCCTTGGCTTTCTATCGACCTCTTAATAGCTTAATTAAACTCTACACAAATATAGTTTTAGTTTAATTTTGTGTGCATTCATTCAGTCATAGACATAAAAATCCCTGAAGTAAACTATCTGTACACGCTGGCTGCTCTCTGTAGTCATGGTAGATAATGACAGTGTGTTCAGACGTTAGTATCAGTGTGTCCTGAAGCACAGGGCTGCATGTGAACTTGCCTCCACCTCCTTTTCCTCCTTCTACCCCCCCCCCCCCCCCCAAGCTCCCCACCACCCACACCCCACCCCCTCTGTCCCCCAGTGTGTCTGGCTAGTGGCTCAGACACTCAGTATCCGCATTGCGTTGCAGTGCTCCAGCGAGGAGGGGGAAAAAAGAGCATATATCAGCAATCTCTGCCGAGCACTGCTCTTTTCTGTACGCACACAAAGAAACGACTCCCGGCATGTTCCAACTCAAGAGGAAATAAAACCGTCACAATAGAGCCGTCTGCCAACTGCTATTTTATAAAACGTGGCCAGTTCCTGCGTGTGTTTTACATCTAATACTGCCATTTCATACATAATTTAGTTTTTTCCTATAAAAAGCTCTATTTTCTCCTAAATTACTCTTAGGTTTATTTTAATATATTCTGTTTCATCACTTAACACTGTCGTGAAATTTTATTTAATTTAATGTGTCTTTTATTTATTGAAATTGTCCACAACTAATTTTAAATTCTCACACACATAAAAGATGCAAAAGTTCAGCTATGTGGTTTCACAATTTCTGATGGCTTACTTATTGCTCACCATATATATAGTGGATTTTTGGGAATCTGTGCAACAAAGGCGGATAGATTGACGTGATGAATTGTGCAGATAGGAGACTGTTAATGTTAATGAAATGTGGAAGAAGAGCAGCAGTGTTGTGGTCAGAACGGCTGCGAGGTTAATCACCTTTGGGCTTGCTGTGGCTTTGATCCTCATGCTGTGTAAAATCCACAGCCTCCGTCTGTGAGCTCCCTCCACCGCCTCTCCCACTCTGTTCCCTCCCTTCCTTACACACGCACACACACACACACTCCCTCTCACACAGATGCATGTGTGCGCAGCGGTGCACAAGGACATGCACGCACGCACCTCACACACATGCACCTCCCTCCCGAACACGTTGACTCTCTCTCCTCCAGATGCACGAGTGTAGCGGCAGCGCAAGTTCAAACGCACAGACGCACAAACAAACACACAGTAACAGACAACCATTTAGAGACACAGCTTCGCATGAGTGTAGACTGCAAGATGGGCAAGACGGGACGTCACGCCTGGAAAAAATGTAAGGGGTTAGAGATAGGGGGAGAGGGGGAGAGACTAGGAGGGAAGGATGAAAATGAGGGGCAGGGCTGAGACAGAGCAAGGGGAGGCGGGGACAGAGTGATAGAGAGTGTTCAGGCAAGAGAAGAAGAACGAACGATAGCTGGAGATACTGCATGCTTGCATAAGTGTCTAAATGTGTATGTGTGTGTGTGTGTGTGTGTGTGTGTGTGTGTGTGTGTGTGTGTGATGTATGTAGGTGACACAGATTTATGAAAGGAGAGGGTCATAGATGGAGGCGGTATTGGTGGTTGTTGGGGGTTGGGGGAAGTGGGGGTGTTGGTACAGCACCAGATAATGGAATCAATGCAATCTGTGTGTGTTTTACTGTGTTTGTGTTTGCGTGTATGTGTGTGTGTGTGTGTGTGTGTGTGTGCAGCGTACCTGCCTCATAGACATTGCCTGCTCGGACTCTAATCGCCTGGAGAATTAGTGATGTGACTTGGCAGAGGGAAACAGGCACAAAACAGAGCCAGGGACAGCGCCTGAGAGAGGGATAGAAGAAGAGGAGAGACAAAAAGAGGAGAGCGAGATGATGGAGGGGTAGCGAGAGGGGAATAGCTTTTCTGTTCGCCGCTGCGTACAGTGCTCAGAGAGAAGGAAGGCTGTGAAGATGGGGCAGGATAGGTTTTATCAAGAGTAATTTTCTTTACCACCGGATTAATTGTTGCTTTTTTTTCCGCTCAAGGGGAAAACGGATCAATAACTCATCAAAAGAGTGCGTTGTGTTTTACTGTATGTGTTTATGTGTGTGCGCCCATCTGTTTTATGTACATGCACTTGTTGTATGCATGTGTGGACGGACATGAGTACAAATGTGAGTGTGTGTGTCTTAGGAATACCAGGCAAAGGCAAATGGGGAGTTCAGACTGACTTAAATGGGCCGGCTAGCACATCGAGACAAGCAGTCCGACTGACAACGTCCGCCCGCCATCTTCCCTTCATTTGTGTCCACCTTCATGTGCGTTCTTTTTGACATAGGTACATTTTTGTTGTACATGAGAATATTTGACTTCATCCTCCCTGTAGCTTCTGGTTTTCATCCTCCGGTCTTTGTGTCTCGTGCGTTTGAGAGCAGCAGAGGAGAAAACTGGGACAGAGGGAAATATCTCAAAGCACAGAGACAAAGAGAAAATAGAGAGAGAGGCAGTCTAATGTCTCACACTGGCAGCAAAAGGCTCCATGTTCTGTGCACCTTTGTAGAGTCGCGTGTTCGTCTGCGTGTGTGTGTGTGTGCGCGCGTGAACCTGGCCACAGACAGATTTTGTAAGTTTGGGAACGTGTTCTGGATTGTTGGCAGCCGGTGAAGCTGTCGTCTGCACAGACTTAACGTGATGCAAATGGAGCTTTTCAGCTGTGTGCCAGTTGTTTGTACCCTGGCTCTTATTCTTCATGTGGCGTCTGCGGTGCTTGTATGACATATATTTTGTCTGGGGAAGAGTAAATCAGTGTTGCCTCCCTCGAGGCTGAGCATCTTTGTCATGGGGGAGCGATTGCATAATCCTGTGAGATCACAAGGCCTGTAGGAAATATAAGATGACAGTGTTGTCTGCGGCTCCAGGCACAGCTGTCTGTGGATGTTTCATGCATGTGCATAAGCAAAGAGTCGAGTGTGTGTGTGTCTATGAACTGTATGACCGCTCTGTCTGGCTCATACAGGCCGTGCGGCTATAGGTCCATCCCATATGCAAAACCAGATTTATACATTACATTTTAAGGGTTTTCCTCTGCATGTGTGCGTCTGTCTTCAAATGCTTTGTCTGTCTGTCTGCCAGCAGGGGGCATTTTCTTTGAATGTCTTACTGCACAGACCTGCACTGAAAAACAGGCGCTGGCTATGTCAGGAGGAAAAGAGAGTAAAAGGGCCCTGAAAAGGAAGCGAACAGATAAATAACGCTTGTATGTTGCTTGTACACTTGTATGTTGAACAATGTGCTCTAACTAGATCTTTCTCTTTCTGCAGGATGTGGTCCGGTCCATTTTGCGCAGACGTCTCAAGACGAAATATTTCATGTCGGACAGCATCGTCACTGATAAAAAAACGGTAACCATCCAATGTGACGTATAAACTGTCTGTCACTTTAGAGTCTCTTTTTGTGATAAGATACGATGCTACATATCTATAAATAGTTAAAATTGTATTTATATGCAGGTTTAATGTCAAAAGTAAATCTCACTGAGCTTAAATAACAGCATTAAAAAACATACGTCACAGAAATATATTTTGTCATGTGAAAATTTCATGGCTCATTTAAGACTTGTTGGATTTTACCTGTGGACGAGGTCGGCTGAACAGTTGACGACCGCCTTTTTCAGACCAGACGCGTCTGTCGGCGTGCTTCATTGTCCCTGAGACCCTTAACCTGTGATGATATAAAAGTTCACAGGTGAGGTCCTTGGGAACAAAGTTGCATGCAGCTGCATCTGTCTTTAAACTGAGAGAAAACGTCTCACAATGCCAGACGACAAGCTGTGCACTTTTTTCAATCATGAGACTATCACAAATGTCAGAAACGTATCACAGATCAGAGTAAATCTGCAGAGCACTTGTAGAAAAATATTTTTTTTTGACTGCATGAACTCATCTGGAGAGAATTCCCCAAAACTGCCCATGGGAAGCCAAGAAGAGACAACGTGGTTCTTTGGAGGGGGCAGTACCTTTCGGCCGGCTTTGTGCACTGAACACTCACATGGTTCAATAAAAAGACAGCCAAGGTTCGTGACCCCGATGTATGACTCACACAAGATTTTTTTTAAGTCTGTTCACAGACGCTGAAAATTACAACACTGCAGACCTGAAGTCAGGAGACGAGGAACACGTTGATAGTTACATTTATAAAAAGACAGCAAAGTGTCATCACTTTAAAGGTTTTTCATTTGTACAGACGTTGAAGCTCCTCACAGCAACTCAAAATTGTTATTGTTAGACAGAAATATGTTGGTGAGAAAGGATGTGCATTTTGTTATAGGGCTGCAACGAACAATACTTTTCATTATAATTTTCTCAATCGATTAATCATTTGGTCCCTAAAATGTCAGGAAATAGTGAAGGATCCTTCTTGAGTCTAAAGATGGTTCCGTCATTGAAGTTTACTTTCATAAGACAAAGAAAAGCATCAAATCATCACAACTGAGGAAATGTTTGGGAAAAAACCCTAAACTAATGATTGATTATATAGTTGTCAATTAATTTTCTCTATATCATTTAATTAATTAATCGACATGTAGTTGAAGCTCCACATTCTTATAATTTTTTTGGATGAATGATTTGCACCTTGTTCTGTTTTTTATTAACTGGAATTATGCCAATAAAATCCAAGCAATGGTGAAAACGTGTTGCTTTTGTTAATACTGACAAAGATATTTAAAAAACATCATCAGCTGTTTCCTTTTACCGGCCTTGCTCGTATCTTGTGGTTCGTAAGCACAGTAAAATACATTTTTGCTCTCCCAGTCAGGAATTTAATGTGACATGAACATTTCAGATCAACTTCGTCCGCATGTGATATCAAAAGCACAAATTGAACTTCTTGTCACATTTTTCTGACTGCTCAACAAAGCGCCAGCTCTTGGCAGTTTTCAGGTGAATAAATGAAAGTGACGTGGCCCTCTTTCAGGCTCTCGCCCCTGACGCTCGGTCAGGGTGGCCCAGTGTTCCCTGGCTCTCAGCCCCACCATGTGTTTGTGCATCCCAGGACAGTTGAAATTGATTGTGCAAGAGACAGACCGAGACACATTAGTACCCAGCTCGCTCCTACCGCTGAAAAACACATTAACTGGCTGCATTGGGAGCCCTGTCTAGTAACCATGGCAAAGCACACAGGGAGGGGGGAGGGGGGTGGGTTGAGACGGGGCAGCGGGTTCAGCGCGCAGTCTCGCAGCCTTTCCTCCGGCCACGTCTGTCATTTTCTCCCAGCATCTCTGTCCTTTTTTAAAAAACTGACAGCTTCTCTGTCTGTCTCTCCCCTCCTCACACACATGTAAACAGAATTTGCATATTTCTTTCTCTTCTCTTGCATTCTTCTTCTTATTGAGGCTGACCTCATCAATCTGCCCTTACCTCATACTCCACCCCCTTATCCAACTACCCTGTGCAACATAATCTATGCCTCTCTCTGATTTGCCTTTTTTCCCCCCATGTCTTTTCTTCCATTGTCACCATGGTTCCCCTCTGTGGAGAGGCACAGTAAAGACAAAATGGAACTAAAACAATGTGAAAATGTGGAATAAACTGATACAGATGGGCTCATGTTTTCCCACAATCATAATATCATTTTATCATTTTAATATTCGTAGTTTTTCATGCTTCATTTTGTGCATGGTAAAGTATATACAGTACAGAGCCTATTCTAGTTGGAATAAGTAAAATCACTCTTTTATACTGCATCTGTTGTACTTCTACTGCTGTGACATTTTCCCTGTGTTGGATCCATAAAGTTTATCTTATCTTATAAATATGTCGCACCCTCTCAGGTTTATGTTTAGTGAGTACTTTGATATTCTTTTCAAGGACATTTTCAACTTTGTGCTACATCGGCTGAACACGTTTTAATAAATGTGTAGGTGGAAAGTAACCGCTGTGTGTGCTTTTACTCTGGTACTGTGCTTAAGTACGAGTATTTCTATGTTAGAAGTTCACTCATAGGCTATTTCAATCTAATACTTTTTAACTTAAAGCTCAGCTATGTAACTTTTGCTGAACCACAGCCACTGTGGCCTCTAGTGGTAAATACAGGATAATGGTAAATGGTAAAAGCAAAGTGTAACAGTTACGCAATAAAGTAAAATCAGTCAACTGACCAAGTAATGTCAGTTACACAGTAATTAAAGTTCATAATAACGTTAATAATATTAGCCACCACGAGCCACCAGTCAAAACAGACCCAGTAAGCCTGTAGCAGCATAATCCTGGAGTGTATCGACCAGGGGGGCATTTTATTTACAAGGGGAAGAATGTGTCATCAAAAGTTACATCGTCCTGCTTCAAACCAAATATATTAAAGCTGTTCAGTATGTCACTTTCATCACCTTCTCTCATAGTCGTTCAAAAAAAAATGCCTCTTTGAACTCAAAAATACGTATCTGATATTGTTGTTGTTTATTGTGTCATGCATATGGCCTACATGTGCTCAGTCCACATGGTTGTGAAAGACACCAGAAATACAATTGCTGTAGTGAAAAAGTGGTGCAAAGAACTTCTGTACCCTGTCCCAAGCTCTTCACTGAAAATCTGCCATGAAGACGATTTCCTTCCTCGAACACAACTTTCTTCCAACTAGAAGAACTGACAAAGCCTTTTCTCTTCAATAAAACACATGAAGTGTTTATACTGAATGTAGCAGTGCACACAGAGATTAAATCCTTCATCACATGAGGTTCTACATTATACTGTATTTCTTTTTTGTGAGAATATGTTAATAATTTAGATTTGTTCCAAAAATTAAAAGAGCTTTCCTTAAACAAGTATTAATATTATTGTTAAGAATTCTTATTTTTAGTACTTGAGTACTACTTAGTTCTTTGAGCAGTATTTAGAGTGTATGGGTGTTTATCAGGTTGTTACAGAGTCAAATCAGTGTACTTCTAGAGTTTTGTTACTTTCCACCATCACTGTTAATGTTACACATCATATGTTGCCCATCTGTGCCCTTTCCCTAATGATATACGGTGCAATGATTAATTACACCTAACAAATTAGTCTGTAAGTGGCGGTTCTGAGTTACTGTCCCATGTCACAGTGCTTAGTTTAGATGGCAAGGCAAACCACTGTACTTTAAACATAAAATTACTATGCTAAAATGTCAGGCAGGTAAGAAAAATGCTGTAAAGTAAGAATGCTTTCAAAAATAGACATGTTAATAGATTAAATTTATCAATTAACAAAATACAAAGTGAGTGAACAGAAGAGAAATCTGAATCAAATCAATATTCAGTGTGACCAGCCTTTGCCCTCAAAACAGCATCAATCCTTCACTTGTACAAAGTGAGGGGGTTTGTGGGCATATCTCAGATGTATGATAATTATTATAATTATACCAAACAGGTGCTGATCATAAATTCAATGTGTAGCTTGAAACAAAATCATTAACTAAAACAGAAACAGCTGTGTAGGGAGAATGAAACTGGGTGAGGAACAGTCAAACTCAAGGTGAGGTTGCTGAAGACAGTTTACTGTCAAAAGTCATACACCAGAAGGTAGTTATACTGCTTCAGCAAGGTGTCTCCCAGGCAGACAGGGGTTTTAAGATGTGATGTCCAAGCTCTTCTGAAGAAGCACAAACAGGCAAAGTTGAGGACCGTAGACAAGGTGGTCAGCCAAAGAAAGAAACTTACTGCAGCAGATAAAAAAACCACATCATGCTTAGGGTAGTTTGGGGTAAGACGCCCCCTAAGCTCAATGTCTATTTGCTGACACATAAAATAATATTTTATAGTTTTTTTGTATCATGGAGATGGCCATGCTTAGGGTGACATTATATAAAGTAAAATAAAAACCTACAGTTGACAAATTAATTTGAATTTAATCAAATGTATGTTTTAGCCGAAATGCATTTTAGGTAAGCCCATCCATACTAATCTAGCATTTTACTACTTTACCAAAAATTTAAAAAAATGTTTCTCTCAAAACAATTGCATAACTAGGCCTACAGCTTATTTTAAATGACTAAAAAAATGTATCAACTTATGTCACAATGGCTTTAATTAACTAACAATTAACTTCAAAAATTGTGATAAAACAGGAAATTGTTAGTTGAGTGAGACTAGAAAGTCACAAGAAATTGTGACATTTTGTAGTTTTTGTTAGAATTACACTGGGGGGCGTCTTACCCGATGTTACCCCTACTTCCACAACCGAGTCGGAAGATGTCCAGCAGTGCCATCAGCTCAGAGCTGCAGAGAACAGTGGGACCCTGGTACACCCATGTGTCCAGAGAAGTCTGGTCAGACATGGCCTTCATGAAAGACTTGGGGCCAGTGCTGAGAAGAAGTACAGGCAGATATCAATCATGCAGTACCAGTAGGGAGGCATTAGATTGGCCCGAAATGAATTCTGTGGGTTGACAACGACCCCAAAGGTACAGCAAAGGTCATTAAGAGCTGTCTTCAGCGTAAAGAAGAACAAGGAGTCCTGGAAGTGATGGCATGGCCCCCACAGAGCCCTGATCTCAACATTATAGAGAAGCAACTGAGGCTGCCTAAATCCACAGGGCTGTGTGTAGTTCTCCAAGATATTTGGGCGTACCAACCTGCCGAGGTCCTTCAAAGCCTATGTGCAAGTGTAGAGTGTCTAGAAGCATCTGTCTGGCATCAACATGCCATGATTCACAGAAAGGACTTAGAGGACCAAACAGTTGTGTTCTGGGTAAGTCGTAACACTTTGGGTAAACTTTATCATATCAGATGTGATAATAAAGACAGAGATCAACCCAAACCCTACATGGTGTCAACGTATCTCAAACACGGCGAACTAGTTTTATAGTGTGACATCTGTATGAGGTTTCAGGATACTTTTATAGAGTAAATATTGAAGACATTTGATTGTACTCACCACAAAGAAAGAAATCTGGCTGTGAAATTGTTCATTTTCTTCATAGCCTTTTTTCTTATAATGTGTGAGCATGTGAGCCAAATGAAGCATTTTCAACTGATATCAGTTATTTATCATGATCAGAGAAGTTAATAAATTTAATTTTAGTTACATTTTACTGCAGATAGTTGTGGGCTTTTCTAAGGGTGTCATCTTCTTTGATGTAGCCTACTACAGCACATGATGTTTGCATTGTATTAGGTTACGCATTGAGAGCTCTCATTCCTGCAGCAGAGATCAGGCACAGACCTGTTACCTGTTATATATGCATAAAAGGATTGTGAGCACATTTGGATGACCAACATAAGTGGTATCCTTTTAATGTTTATAGATGAGATAAGATTAATTCCTTGATACCTTGTGACTACTAATTACTGTATACACATAAATACAAACTATAACGTGTATTAAACCAAAATAGTCCCCCCAAAAAAGTGAGGACACAAGGAATTTACAAAGACAATAATTAAATACAGAAATTCCGCCTGAGGGAATGAATTGGGTGGTTTGTGTCTTGGATCTGCAGAAAGCAGTGTGACAGGATTAAAGAAGTGCCATAGCAAATGTGGGTATAAATACTGTATGTGGGCTACAGTACATGTAAGAAACCACAGTAACACCTTGGGAGTCAGCAGGGATGCTGAGGCGGAACTGAAACTCTGCGCTGCAGTTTCCTTCTGAGTCTCCTAAACATCACGGACACCCGGAAGCGGTCGCAAATTTAAACAGCCATCACAGCAACAATAAACGCGAACTTTCACTTTACGGACTGTCTGATGAGTCAGTAACATATGCAAAATTAAGCTGGAATAAATCTTACAGAGGATTTATTAAAGGTGAGTTATGCACTCTGTTGTTTGCAGTATTTTATCCGCTTCTCGCCGCTAGCTGACGTTACCATCGCCATCGATTTTGAAGCTGACTATTAACTGGAAAACAATCAGGTCCATAGTCAAAGCGATTGTTTAAGGCCCTAAATCTGACCAAATTTACTATCGTTCAGCTACATTTCAGAATGCATGGGGTTTTTACGATTTTTAAAAATAAATTGTATGTGTTTTAATGTGTTAATATGCAGCCGTAGAACCCCAGTGATTAGCGTTTGCATGCGGCGATATTAATAGTGCACATGTTATGTTAGCTTCCTGAGCACTTGACTATCCGGACACCTTCCCGCCGTTGCAAGATTGTAGTCCAGAAAATAGACATAGCCGTGCTAAACTTGCCCTTTAATAATACAAATATGTAAACACGTATTAATTGATTTCCAGATACATTTTAAATAAATATGCAGGTGTGGCTTATTCTGCAGACTATGTTGTTTATGAAGATTGTATTTGCTTTTTTAAATAAATAATATTGATAATATTTAAATAGTGATAATATTTTCTAGCATATATATATATATATATATATATATATATATATAATCTCGTGTATGCTTATAATTAATTATAATTACAAAACTTTGTTGATACAAGGGTCATGACTACTTTCTTTATGATTTGCTATCTTTGCACCTATAATATTGTATGGTATTGTGTTTTGTGAAGCACCTTGTAACTGTTTTTGAAAGGCGCTATAAAAAATTTATTTTTATCAATCAGAGGAATTAATTATATTCAGATGACGAACAAAAACAAAGATGAGACAATTTGCTCATTTAAAACTTTTTGTTTTAGCAAGGCTAACATGGTCACAAGGTATTTTTCATGTTTTAAAGACAAATGTTTCTGATTACTTATATCTATCACTGTTTTTAAGTTTAACAGACAATCTTTCTCTGGTTGTTCTATGTATCCTGGAACACAACGTGACAATCAAATGTCTTGTAATATAAAAAAATATTCAATTCTTACATTTTAGACCCTGAAATCAGATCTCTGGCAATAAAAATAACTAAAACGATTAATTGATTATTAAAGCATTGCCACTTTACTTAAAACAAACGCATCTCATTGTCACATTGCATGACTATACTATTGTTCTGTCCATGTTTGTGATTTGTTCTGCTTTACATGAAAAATAAAATCCAGAATTGTGCACCACCGAAGTCCTGCTCGATCACACTTTACACCCAATTATATAATCAATATTAAATAGTTGAATGTACATATTAAGTGATTATTAATTAAGTATTAATTGTGCTGCTGAATGTTCAATGTACAGGTGCAAACCCAAGAGCAGCCCAAGCTGACGGCAACAGTATGGAAGAAGAAACAAAGACGGCTGAGTCAGAACAAGGAGATGCTGTGAAAAATGAGGGTGAGCCCAGTGTAGACAGGTCCAACAACAGTCCAACTAAAAGAGGAAGGGGGAGGCCACAAGGTTCAAAGAAGTTGAAGGTTTGTGTTACAGACGTTAACCTAATGGAGCTGGTTTCAGGCATTTCCAACGGTGGGCCCACACAACCACCGAGGGGACGAGGGCGTCCAAAACTCTCTGGCACAAAACACACAGAGCAGCAAGGACCAGGAGATGACCATGCTGATGATTCTTTGCAAACTCCTAGGGGTAAAGGGAGGCCGAAAGGGTCCAAGAAACAGGCCAGTGATGAAGGCAGTCCTGTGACAGAACATTCTCCTAAGAAAAGAGGCAGGCCAAAAAAGTCTCTCAGCAAAAGTGCCCTTGAGAAGGCTGAAGCTGAAGACTTACCGAATGGTGCCTCTGATACGCCAAAACAGGGAAGGGGTCGTCCAAAAGGATCCACGAAGCGCAAGTCAGAAAGTTTAACAAGTATTGAAGAGAATGAAGGCAGTTCTGTAACCCCTAGGAAAAGAGGTCGACCAAAAGTCTCTCTCAACTATAGACCCAGACTGGAGAGAGAGGTGAGCAATGATGGGGAGGCAGAAGCTGATGGAAGCCTAAACTTACTGAAAAGGGGGAGGCGTCAACTCAGGAAGGTGGAGGTGTATAACACTGGGGAGTCGACGCAGGATACATCGAATGGCATCTCAAAGACGCCTCAGAGAGGGAGGGGTAGGCCAAGAAAAAATATTGAACAGAAGGGCGGAGATCAGCAAGAAATGGTCACAGATGGCTCCCAGCCAGCTAAGAGGGGAAGAGGCCGACCTAAAGGCTCTTTAAACAAGAAGGGGCACGGTAAGGTAGGCCGGCCCCGGAGAGTACATGTCCCGCCCGCAAAAGGGAAGCGCGGTCGACCAAGAAAGCAACCAGCTAAAAGGGGAAGGCCCAGGAAGTACCCTCTGCCGTCACCCGAGGAGTTGAAAAAGCCAAAAGTATGGAAGCCTTTGGGAAGGCCGAGGAAATACCCACGTGTTGATTCTCCAGAGGGAGCTCCACCAGCCCCTCGCCGAAGCCGCGGTCGACCCCGCAAGTCAGAGTCCAAGAAAGGCGCTCACTTACGAAAGAGTTTGCCTTCCACTCAGTCATCACCACACAACCCCAGTGACGGCCCCCCAAGAAAAAGGGGCCGTCCCCCAAGTACTGCAAAAAGTGAAGAGGACACCCCGCGGAAAAGGGGCCGCCCTAAAGGTTCAGTCAACAAAAACAAAGCCAGAAGTGAAACACAGATCGACAGCGCACTCCCTAACCATTCAAAGAATGATTCGTCTGCTGTCGCGGTGGAACCTTACGGAGAGCTAGGAGATGGAGAGGTGGAGCACGAAACAGAGACGATGCCCATCGAGCGTGGAGGCGATGCTGAAGAAACGCTCATCGATGAGGATGCAAGCTTCGAAGTTAGTAACCAGGCTTGATGAATGATCCCAGCCTGACCAAAAGTTGCTGTAGTAGTTGACGTTTAAGACATTGAATACAAACAAGTCAATGAAAACACGTTTTTAACATTTTGTCAGTCATAGGCTAGATTTACAGCAGCTCTTGTGTTTTCCTGACTAACTTGTTCATGTTTTATTGTGCTTGAGTTTTTACAAATGCATTATTTCTGTCATCAGAGTAACAAGTAGTACTAATAATCTTTTACTAGGACTGGCATGTAGAGTTTTTTTTATTATAGACTGATTGTTCCAATTTTCATTTAGCTTTCAGATGTAGTGTTTGTCAGTTTAACTGTAAAACATTTTCTGGGGAATAACTTAGATGGGGAATAAAAAAGTCCAAACGAATGTTGGGGGAGATGACATCGCAGCCAAGCTAGCCTCTGTCCCACTAGCTTCTGTAACTAATTTGAAACTTTTATTCAGCATTTCTTTCATTGGTCTTTCTAAAAAAAATGTGGAAATGTGTTCATGGGATTTACTGTCCATATTATAGGACAATCTGACACACGTAGACAGAGCGATACGGGCCTCAATCACATTCTTTGAAAATCTGTTTTTGCCAACTGATATCCAAACACACACATCCTGTTATGATGCTGCTCTGCTAGCCAAGACCCATTAGCTTACGGTCAAGTAGGGTTTTATATAATGGGCGGGGTTAGCTAGTTGCCGCAAAATCCTCATTTGACAGGATATATTTCTATTTAAGTTTAAAATGAGTCAAAATAAAAACTAATTTATATGTTTAACAGGAAGAGAGGGAAGAGCAATTATAATTTAAAGGGAATAAAAGTTTTTATTTTTTTTTTATTACATTTTTTCCTCCCCTTGACATAAGTTCAATGTTTACCTGTCTGTCCGGCCGTCAACTTTACCCTCAGAGCTGTTATTGCGTCGGTTTTTGGGCCATAGCAGGCAGCTGTTTTCAGTTTAAAAAAAACAAAACAATAAAAACCTACTGTACAATACCTGCCCAGCACACGACAGCAGGCTAACACAGTTAGAGACTAGCTGTTGAACATAGTGGAGCATTTAGCAGCTAAAGAGCCAGATACTTTCCTCAGGAGTTGGTAGAGACCAAAAGCAGAACTATAAGAGAGTGAACATTCATGAGAAACCAGAAACACGATTCCAAATGGATGAAAATGATGCTCCGTAACTCCTGAATGTGTAAATGAGCAGTTTTTTGATGATTATGTTGTGTTCACAACTTGTTTCTGCTGCCCTCAAGTGGCCAAAAAAAGTTATTCCTACTTTAAGCCACGATTGTCTATGGCTTGTGAGAAATTGTTGAAGGCTGCGTAAAACAGAAATACCGAATCAATGATATTAGAACCACAGGCATAGGCATCTGTTAGGTTTAAATATGTCTAAATAATGTCATGTTTGTCAGTACTATTTCATATTGGTTTTGCCTTAATTGCCAAAGCTTTGAATGTACCATCAGTTACCGTTCCTTAGATCAATGTCTTGCACAGATCAGCCTCTCAATTTGTTAGTGCATTCTTCGACAGGATGAAAAGCTCTGTATCAAATGCCTTCCCGCCGCTCAGTCGCCCTGAAGATTTCTTCCTCCACGTGTTCCATTTACTTTTTTAGTTTCAGCTATTTGTTGAGTTGCACTTATTTCACTCTTTTCTCTAAATGTTTACGTGTAGCTGTGAAGCCTTTTGATTTAAAAAAATGTTATGACTTGGGACTGTCATGAGATTAGATTCAAGTGATTGGATTGATTTCACAAACATTCATTTACTTGTTTTTGAGCACCTTGTGTAAAAAAAACAAAAAAAGAAAGGAAAAAAAAAAGCGTGACATGACTTGTACATCATTATTACTGATATTAACACCTTTTATGGTTGGGTCAAACAAATGAAGTTTCTAAATGCCAAATGATGCTTCTGTGTGTCAAGTTATATGTAAAAAGAATGTGAGATGAGGATGGAAATGGTTTTAAAACATTTTAAAAGTCACAGTGAAATTCGATCTGGCTTTGTGAAGTCGAATCATTTTAAGTGGACATATTTGAATTTTGTGTGTTTTGAATAAGAAGTCAATTTGTGAGATTATGTTCTTGAAATAAAATGTTGATCTTGCCATTTTATTTTGCACAGTGTGGTTTGATGTTTGGGTATTTGGTAACTGTGGTAAACTTTGGTAAATATTGCTTTATATTCCTGTTTATTTCTTTTCTGTTCCATCGTTTACCTCCAGACATTTTACATAACTAAATGAAAAGTGTATTAGACATCATTTAGTCCTGTTTGATGACTTGATTGCTCTAGCTAAAGCAAAGTATGTGTGTTTTGACAGGTGAATCGCTTCAAACTATAAAATCACCACAAGTCAGGGTCAAGTAGTTAAAAAAATCTCCAATTTTCATTAGCATTTTTTCATAATGTAGCTAATCTTATACATCGATCAGCCCTAACATTATAACCACTGACAGGTGAAGTGAATAACACTGATTAGCTCATTCAGATCCTGGCACCTGTCAGTGGGAGGGGCAACTGAGCATTTTGTCCTCAAAGTTGATGTGTTATGCTGCGTTCCAGGCACCTGGGAACTCGGAAATTTCCGACCTCCAACTAGAAAAAGTCGTATTTCCTACTTGAGAAATAATATCTGTACTCCGACTTCACTAGTAGCGGCCTAATGACGCCACACAACAATGGAAGCTCCCATGGCAGCACACCTTGTAAATGGTAAACAATAGAGTAAAAGGCAAAGTATTAAATGAAAATACCGACCGGTGTTATCCCGAGTTTCGTTTGCCTGCCGAGAATTGCATGCACCTCCAAATACTGCTTTTTAAACGCTATAATATTCCTTGTGGGGTCCATCAACGGTGATAAATGATTAGAAGTATATATTTTATGAACGTTTAGTCTTTAATATTTGAATACACTTAGAAGTACCATTACTTGACATTGAGTAAATATGTGCCGATAACGCCGTTTGATCAATGAGCACAGCAAAGTGTCTGAAAAGGACTTAAAGAGGTGGATGCATAATTCGGTAGATCAAATTTTGTAGGCTACCTGCGGAGATTTGCATCAGCCTAAATGACCGTTATCACCCGCGAGGTGGACGCAATTCTCGGCAGGAATTCGGCACAACCTGTCTGGAACGCGGCGTTCCTCTTCACTGCTTCCTCCTCTGTGGTGAAAAAATGTTTTATGCACCTGACCACACCTGCCAGGTGACTTCACTAGTGAGAAACAACTAAACTAGCGAGGTCGCTAATCGTAGACGAAGTTACGGATTGTCTCGGCGATACGACCGCAATAAAACAGGTAGGTCAATTATAAGCGCACTGTACTTGTATCTGTTTAGAGGATGACAAGACTCGACCGTAAATACAGATAAACAGCTCCTGCTCGAAACTTCGCACCAGGCATAATTAGCGATAACTCAATGTATGGACAGGATTGAAAACGCTTTTTTAAATTCCTCAATATAAACTGGAAACCATGAAATTGGAAAACTGAAAAACCAACGGTAGACTGAGTTGGTAACGTTAGTTCAGTCTGAGAGTGTTTGTCTTGGTAGCAGCCAGATTTTTCCCGATTTTAAACCACTGTGTGACGTTGATTTAGGACTTCTTAAAACAGAAAGTTAAAATAATTAAAGTAGACATTTTAAAAGTACACAGGCACGTATTTCCTGTAGGTAAAATGAGTAACGTTAGCCTGCGACGTTTTTACACATGAGCCACTCTCTCCTGTGTTCAAGTCTCCAGTGATTAGACTTGATAGAGCCTTTTTGTTTTGGAGATTAAAAACATAACTACTACATTTTAAACCCCATTGCTGTCACCCATGTTAGAGTTCAGAAATGTATTACAAACCCAGCCATGGTTTACACCTTCATCTCACAGTCACAACAACTTAAGTTTGAAGCAGTTTCAGCTGCTGTTGATACACCCGAAACTGTAGCGCACAGGCAAAGTCCAGGCTGTTTCCTGTGTTTTCAGAGAGCAGGAATGCAGCCATGTTTTAATAGCTTGCTGCTCACTTTATAGTTGAAAGGTATCAGTGTTTCTGTTAATAAATTGCCTTACCTCAAAGGTTGTTGGAGTTGGAGTCGACACACTTGGGCATCTAGCCTCATATATTTCTAATATTTAAAAAGTACAAGCCAATTTGAGCTTTGATTGTGAAGTAAGAATTAGTAGTTTGTGTAGCATGTCTGGGGAGTTATCTGTTTTAGTAACTATCCATTACTTCGTTATCAGTCTGAACTTTTAAAATATTCCCTCTGTATGTTTTACACATTGTCATTAAAGTTTGCGGCGTTAGTTTTGGAGAGAAGGTAATATTGGTATTTAAACTTTAGGAGGTAAAAGGTCACAGCAACTGGCCTAAGGTTTTGCCTTCGCCATGTATTAGGTGTAGTACTGAGTGTACTTTGTTTGATTGTCTTTGTGGCCTTTTATGGCTGTAAGTAATCCCCACATGGCCATTAAAGTAAATCATAGTTTACTTATGTCAATTAATTGATTGAAGTTAGTCTTATGTAATTAGTACATTGCTCTCAAAACAAGCAGTTGGAAGATGTTATAGAGACCAAACAATGAATTGGTTAATCGGCAAAGTAGCCAGATTCATTCACATTGAATCTAGAGGTTACAGTGGTTGCAGCCCTGAAGTATATTCACTCCAGATATGATTTTGACTTACTTTAATAACAGCTGTGAAATTGGGAAATTATGGCATATTCTTCAAATAACTGGGCATAATGCTGATATGTCCACAACATTTGTATTATACACTCACTGGCTTTGTTGTTTTAGTGAGACTTGTTTTGGTGTTTGGGAGTCATTTTCTTTACTTAAATTAAGGTAACAGTGTATTTAGAGCAACCTTTAATAGGAATTTACAGGACTGACAAACTCATATTTGTTCCTCACACTGTGTAGGCCTGTACAAAGAAAAGACCAGTCATACAGGCGAATACACCAGTGATAAACAGTGAACTTTGAGTTTGTTTGTTTGTTTTTTAAGGTGGAGCAGGACACTGTTTTAAATGTGGTTATAACTCTTTCACCCCTCAGACAAATCAACAAATGTGGCAAAAAATGACTTTAAGCATCTGGAAGAAGCTTTGCTAAAAGTCAGTCTGGACAGTGCAACAGGTATTGAGTGAAAAGAGAGAATTTAATTTATAAACTCAAGAATGTCTGGCCTTAGTGGTCTAATCTCAGAGCCACAGGAGAGCGGCAGCTTAGAGGAAAGAAGGGAGAGTACAGATGAGGAAGAAGATGATTTAAAGGAGGAGGAAGATCAGGAAGAGGAGATGACCAGCTTTGCGGCTCTGGAGTCGGCCACTTTGCCAAGGACCGGAGACAAAGACAAAAGGCCTCAGATGGACACTGATGATGGAGACTTGTCAGAAAAAAGAGAGCCTGAAGAGAGGGACACTGGGATCAGTGAAGGAAGCCAGGACCTACCAGAGGAGCAGAGCCAAACGGAGAGCAACACAAAGGGCAAAGCCAAGTGGAGGGACAGCATGCCTGAGGGCGAGAGGTGGAGGGACGATGAGATGGAGTTGCAGCGGGATGATAAAGGCGACAGCTCACTGGCTGATAAAGAGGAGGAAGAAGAGTTGGATAGGATCTCAGAGAAAGCCGCTCTGGGTTTCACTCCCCTAGTCACGATTGTGCGTCCGTCCAGCAAAGAGTTTCCTGAGGAGAGCAGGTTCTTCATAGAGAAGGACGACAAGACGGAGCCGCAGATGGTGCCCAACTCAGCAGCACAGTTTTACCCAGAGTGGACAGAACAAGACGACAAGTACTGTGAGTATAAGACACAAGCTTTACTGCATCTGGGCCCATATCTTTTTATAATTTCATTGCGTTGTTCCCTGAGTGACACATTTATCCAACAACTTACTCCTACTAACAGTGAACCATAGGAGTAACATTTAATCACATCATTGATCAGGAACAGCCAGTCAGAGACATGGATCCACCCTACATCTGCACACACTCTACAATTCTACATTTTACTTACTGATATTATTCTGCAAAAACACATGTAATTAACATTATATATATATATATATATATATATATATATATATATATATATATATATATATATATATATATATATATATATATATATATATATATATTTTTAATATAGGTGGTAGGTATTAGGAAATTGCCTAAAAAAGAAACCAGCCTGGAGAAGGAAAGAAATTCAGAGGTGCATTGGAAATAAAATAGTAATAATAATAAACCTAAAAATGCTACATAAACAAGCAACTGCATCATTTTATCATTATTTTTTTTAATGTAGAAACAAGAAAGGTCTTGTATAATACTACCACCAATACAGGCCTCGTTTGATTTATAGAAAATTGCAGTTTAAATCCCCCTCGGAGTATTGTGAGAAAAATCGCAGTTGGGTGTTTTCCTTAAATTGTTCAGCTCTAAACATAACTGTGGCTTTTTCACATTTTAGCCCATTAATTACAAATCACTAACACTTACCACTACTGCTAACAGCTCTTCAAAGGGCATTATAGGTTTTTTTTTTTTTCTTTTTTTTATTGATTACCCGCCTTGTGGGTAGCCATCGGTTTCCATTTATTCCACTGTGCTATTAAAAGCAACTTCTACGGTTGTAATCCATTTAGTTTAACGTACTTTTGGTCACACAGCAGCTGAAAGTGAGAACTGTGAAAAAGCCTCCATAATGGTGCGTTCAAGTGCTTGTGGAAAACCCAATCTCTCAACACTGCTGCTGAAAAGTAACTTTTGTTTCGCTATTAAGGACCAAAGTGTTGTTATCCTTTTCACGATGTCCGTACCTGCTTATTGTTTGAGTTTCTGTCAATGTGGCTTCTGATTTTAATGCTTTTTGGCAGCTGAATCTTAAATCTCACATGTTTGGAGCTTCTTTGAACACACCAACAAGAGTTTTCAAAACATTCCCTTCGAGGAACTGCATAGGCCTTATTCAAAGAAGACTTTTTGAACCAGTAGGAAAAGCACAGGTATAAATAATAAAATGAATGATGGCAGACTTCCATTGATCTTGTCACACTGTGATACTGTTATGTCTTAACTGAGACACTTGAACTCCTTTCCTACTATGACAAGTCAATATGTCTGTAAAAAAGGCAAATTATTTTGAAAGTAATGTAAAAATAAGAGTCTAGTATTTCTGGGGCACTTTAAGCATTTATTAGTACAAGTAAAGACATGAGGAGAGAAGTGGAAAATGACAGGTCTCTGACAGGACTCAGGGAACCAGCCAGTGATGTTGCAGTTTATCATTGGTGCTTTAAACCCCCAGACCACCATGGAGTACCAGGCATCAGATTTTTTTAATCCCCTAATCCTTCTTTACTAACTATGTAGTGATTTCCTGCCCACATATCCTCTCTCAACAGCTATTAAATCAAATTAAAGCCAGATTAAGTAAGATTAGTATAAGGACAGATGCTTATAAACTACCCTGTCATTGTGATTTTAAAGTCCTGTTGAGAAGAAGAGAGGACATATAATCTCTTTGTCTCCAAATTTGAGGAACATCAGAGCTCACTGGGATGGGGATTTTAAATCATCAAGTATATGCAAGATGTTCAAGAAACAACTTTCATTTTAATAACTGGTCACATATCAGATTGCTGTGTTTGTTCTAATCCAGGCAGGTTTAAAGGTGCAGTGTGTGGATTTAGTGGCATCATGAACATACTGGGGTCTTACTGAGCAGGATGTGATGGCAGTTTGCAACAAACTGAATAGCTCTCATCTATGCCCACCCCTTCCAAGAATGTAGAGAACCCCTGTTGGCCACCACTCTCTAGAGCCAGGGTTTGCTTTGTCCGTTCTGGACCACTGAAGAAAACATATTTATATTATATTCCACTCCTGCCACATTCTGCCAAAAGATCCCCCTAAGTCTTAGTTACTGTTAAATCCGACAAACTGTCAGATCTGTCCGACTTTTATCACGGCGCTGCCACCGTCTATAACTGCAGTCCCTGAAGAAATATTGTCTAATTTTTGGGAAAGCGATCTCAAAAAGGAGAGAGAAAGCTTTGCATTATGCGTTTATGGGTTGTATTCAGGTCAAACTGACGTGAAAACAAATAACGATAGAAGCTAAAGCCTACCGATCAGAGTAAAAGTGAACCACTGCATCACCTGACGATTGAGACAGGGGGCAGCGATATTAAGGTTCAACACTGTTCCTGTAAAGCTGGGTAGTTCTCTATTCACTATTACAATCATTAAAAAGAAGAACATTACATTACAACGTTACATTCAATAGTAAATTAGCTAGCATTAGCTAAATAATATTGCATTAGGAACAATCCACAGCCTACATTTTTCTGGATTTGTGTTAAGTTTTGGAAAGAAATTAAATTGTACTTCTCCTTTCAACCTCTCCTGGTAGTGATTGTAATTATTACAAGTGCCCCAGGAACAGCATTTGACCATATCTTGAAAAAATACACAAAAAAGAAGCAAGGTTACGACTCCTTTTGCATTAGATTCAATGGAGTCTCTTCAAGACGCAATGACCATATATGGTCTACTCTCGCCTCCGTATGATGTCATACAGAGCCGAGAGTAGAAAAAAACAGTTGAAACCGGAGCGTTCAGAACAGTGGGAAATCTGAGGTTTTGTCTCAGGGATTTCTTTAAAATATATTTACCTCATTATTTAAAGCTTTGGCCAAATTACCATGAACATCCGACATTGTAACATTATAGATATGACAGAAAATATGCAAAAGCATAATAGGTATACTTTAAGCCAAATACTTACAGGCTCTGTATGATATCATGGGGTGGTGATGGCGCAGTGGATAAGACGCATGCCTTTGGTGTGAGAGACTAATATAAATAGTATTATAGCATTTTAATACCCCATAATTGCAATACCTTTATTGTGAATTGTCCCCATAAATAATGCACATACATTTTAATATTTATCTATGCATATTTGCATGATGCATCAAATTCACTGATATTAATTACATTTTTATCGAATTGTTGTCATTTTATTCAGCCTCCACATCGTTACACTGTCTGATGAAAACCTTTGCTTAAATCGTATAATTGTATAAAAAATGGAAAAGATGGAATTTGAGGGGGAAAAAACAGATTTCATAGGGCCCTAGACCTTTTTGAGTGTTTTTTGAAGCACACTTCCACTCGCTAAGTGAGTCAATGCACTCTTGAGTCTAGTACCGCAGCGTAATGATCTCTTTTCTCCTTAATCAGATATAATTACGTCTTGAGATAAATCATGCTATGACTTTAGTCTCATCCTCTCTGTCTGTCACTGTCCTGTCTCAGTAAAGACATTTAGATACTAGTTTTCCACACTTTTCCTCCCTTAGACGTATGTGAGGGCCTGTGTTGTGAAAAACTGAAGATGGCTCTGGCAACCGTGGCCGCAGGAATCCTCTTCCCTCTCCTGGTGTGGGGAGGTTACGCCTTCCTTCCCTTTGACGCACCGCTGCTGGAGAGCACCCCTCTCAGGGTGGTGTACACACTACGCTGCTCCTTCTTCGCCATCATCCCCATCCTGCTCGGTAAGAACCTCAGCATGTTTATATGTTAAGTGCACTGAAACAAACACTGAATGTAATTTAGAATGAACACTGAAAGCCGTACACAAAAAAGCTTCACACACAAAAAAAAAACAGGTATACCAACCTCCGCCTCTCTGCAGGGTTGATGGTGCAGGGTGTGGCCCGACTGCGCTACAGCTCCCTGAAGCCCCTCTATCAGAGTAAACTGGTGAACAAGAAGGTGGCGGTGCACCAGCACTATGTCAACGAATCGATGGCCCTCTTCCTCTTCTACTTCCTGCAGCTCACTGTTATGGCGACCTACATCAGCCAGGACCTGGTGAAGTTGGTGCCACTGCTCACCATCGTATTTGTTTTCGGCAGGTATGTGTGCTTGCTGTCACGTGCTGTTAAATGTTTAGGATCCAAACCAGATGCAGGTGAAGAGAGAGATGATTCTGGTGTGTGAAAAACAGAATCTGAATCTGGTTACTAAATGTCTGCTAAATAAAACAATTTTTATAAAGCAATTTTTAATAAAGCATTTTATAGTATTTTATTGCTAAATTTCCCTACTAAATAGGAGTGACTAGTCCAGTGTAAAGGGCTGTTCAATTGCAGAGGCTACACTTACCAGACTTGTCAGGTTAAATGAAAACATTGAATTCAGAGCGAGAGAGAGAGAGAGAGAAGGCAGGGGCAAAGGCCAACCAGACAGTGACACAAAGCACGGCTAAACTGAGATATAAACAGGATTAGAACAAAACATTTGAAAGTCTCCAATGCTGAAAAATCAACAATCATAATTAGTTAAACCACAAATCTGATGCCTCCTAACTTCTTTTTTAATTTTAAACAAGGGAGTGAAGGAAAGCATAAATATTTTTTATGAAAACAAATCCACAGCCATCCTAGCAGCTCTGTAGGGCTTCACTTAGGCACAGGGTTGCTCACAACAACCATTTTAACATGCTGATGTTTAGCAGGTATAATGTTTACCATGTTCACAATGTAACCGTCTCAGAAAATATCACAGTTTCACGGTATTACGTTATTAATAAACTGTCAACTTTCATACGAGGTATACCACTGCTACCATTATGCTAACACTTGCTAATTAGCACTAAGTGCAGTTGATGGGAATGTCATTAGTTCTGCAGACAAAATGAAATTTTGACAAGAAGTGCTAGATGGAAACATTTTTTTTTTTTTTATATATATATTTTTTATATTAAGATATTTCAGTCTGGACCAAAGTGACGGCCATTGCCATCTCTAGAGCCAAACTGCTAGCATGGCAAAAAAGGCCCAGAATATAAACTGCAAGAAGGAGAAATCCCGAAGTCAGCATACCACCACAAAACTGATGAGTTCAACTTCATGTTACATTTGAAACAAGGCCTTAGAGAACAAAAACCCAAATATTGGATAAGCCAAACACTTTTTGTTTGGTATTTTTGTATTTCAGACTTCATTCAAGGTTACATCTGTTTATTCTGAAAGTTTTTAAAATGTCTTCCCTGGCTGCTTGATGCAATAATCAGTTTGGCTTTTGGTTGCATAGTGGCTCATGAAGGAAATAAACAGTTGGTCTTGAGTTGATCTGAATAGCTGTCTAGCTTGTGAAATCATCCTGCTCACACTGGCTAACTTTGATGTGGTCTAAACAGATACTGCCTGTACTCAGTCAGCGTCCGTGTCCGACAGTGTTTTCTGCAGAGAGCTCATGAGTTTGTCCTCAGTTCAACAACAGAACTGTCTTTCTGTAGTTTTGGTCATTCATTCCTACTTACACACAGTGAAACCACACATCATCAGGAAGGATTAATACAAATCCCCAGTAACAATATAATAACAACTGACTGTGTGTGGGAGTGAAAATGCAGGTGAATATTTAATTCATAGCTGTCTGTTTTTAAATGTCCATTCCATTTTGAAAGAGCTACTTCCTGTTAGAATTTTGATCTTACTGTGGTCATGCATGCAAGGTTCAAAAGTGCTGGCGGACAACTGTCATTTTGGATAACCCTTCCACTTCCAAATGAACCAGTTAAACTGGGGATGTATTTCAAAACTTGTCTGATCACTCGTAGTGCTGAATATCCAAGGAACTTATTCACCACTGCGCACGTCAGAAGTTTACAAACCACTCTTTTCTTTTCTTCTTTTTTTGTTTTGCTTTTACAAAGGACAAACATTCTACACTAATAAACCACCACAACAACACGAGCTGGGATTAGGAGGTGTGGGGGGCACAACTACAGTACAGTACCAGAGAATTAAAGTATTTTATTTGGTTATCTACATCTGTCGACACTATGATCACCAGAGTTTAAAAAAATCATCTGTTACAGAAAAAATAAGAAAACATGACGCCACTGACACGACAGTGTGTCAGCGTGCACTTAACATGTCTGCTATTCATAATGTATTTCATACATTGTTTTAAATAAGTTTGAACAATTCAAGTCAACTGTTTGGAAAAACAAACCCTCTAAACTCTAATACTGAGCTCTAATAATGCCTTTATGCATTGCAGCATCAAGTTTCAGAATAGAGTGGGCTCTGAGATGATGATCTCAGGCACAGTCAAATGCTGCATGAGGGAAAATTAGAGTAAAAAAGCATCTATTAAGTTATTAATCCTGATCCTTTGAGTCATCAGACACAAAAGCTGATGAAAGGCATGAAGGAGCTAAGCCGTCTAAAGTTCCTGCTGAAAAGGGAGAGTGGGTGTACGAGGTGATGTGGGTTGTGATACTTTTTGTATTTGTAAATCTACATCATTTAGAAATAAGGGATCCGAGTTTGAGCACATTCATCTCTGTAACTTATGATTTGTGGTGTTTTCTGTGCTGCAGGCTGATCTACTGGCTCTGCCTCTCTCTGAGCAGCAGCATCAGGGGTTTCGGCTTCGGCTTCTCCTTCTTCCCCATACTGGTCATGCTGGGCGCCAACCTGTACTACGTCTGCTCGTCAGTCGACCAAGAGGCGGTTTTCGATGACACACCACCCACGACGCCTCCTCCTAAGTGGAGCTGGTGGGGTTAAAGGGCGACGTCCGAAAAGGCGGTGAGGAGTTAAGAGACTGAGTATTGTTGTGTCATAATATCAAAAGCTGTTTACAGTCTGCAGTCAGCCGGGGAATGGCGGACTCCGTCACTACAGAGAAAACACTTGGTATCAAAAATTAGTTTTATTTCATGAATATCTAAGAAATAAGGATTAAAAATTTATTTGGTGTTTCTTCACAAAGAAATCAATGACATGAAGCAGGTTGTGGGTACATTTGTAGCTTGAATCTTCTCTGTATTAAAAAAATATTTGCGTCGGTAGTTGAAGCTGAAAAGGTTTACATACACCAACAACTGATAAATCAAGTTTTTGGGACAGTATGAGGAATTTAGTATTTGGATATTATGCAGCCAAATTAAGACAGAAAAATTAGACTTGAAACCTAAAAACTGTCTTTCTGAAAACTGTTTTCTATTGTCTTATTGATAAAAGGCTTTACTTTGTTTATAGCAAGACTTGCTGTTGGGCTATTTGTGGATAGCTTCTTTTCTTGTGTGTATGAGTATTTAAAGTAAATCTGATCAATATTTTGGATGAGTTCAATAAAGCTTCATTAACAAATATGACAATGATTTATCATCACTCACTGCTGGAGGGAGGGGCACGTTACTTTTCACTGATTATCAGGATTCATGAGGCAAGTTTCAACAAGACTAAAGAGTCGGTGCCCAAAATCAAAACCAGAAAAATGCGGCCACTTGCACAAATGCTGAGGGTGAAGAAAGAAACTGCAGTGTCTTTGTTTAAAGTTACAGACAAGGAAAAACAAACAAACGGGAATCAAAAAGACAGGAATCATTCAGCTTTCTGACAGACTACAACAAAGTCAGTGTGTTACGTTCACAGAGTGAAGAGCCGTTCATGTTTCCCTACTATTAGACAGGTTTATTTTTGGAGAGGGTGAGAGTGAGTGTGTGTCAGGGGTGTGTCTTCTGCATAAAAAATACTTTTACTATTACGATACATTAAGTACATTTTTTGTTCAATCCTTTTTACTTTCCATGCAGAATTTTTCCTAGTAATCTAGTACTTATGCATTGAGTACAAATCTGAAGACACATTTTATTAAAAGCTGAACAAGAAGTCAACACCAGATGAAAACAATAATATTCAAGATCAAATGAATGAACGTGTGATTTTTATTGCTATAGTGTTATTTTGTTGTTTAATCTCGGTGTATCAGGTGTCGTCATTGACTTGCTCACACAGTTGCTGCCTCCCTCACAGGAGGTCATGAGATCAGCTAAATTTAGCCGTGTAGTTATCACTGAATGTTTGAAATGAAGCTTCATTGCACGTGCTTGTAACTGTGACAGTAAGCTGTGGATGAAGAGGAAGGGAAAAAAAGCACACCATAAAGAGAACCAGCCCTCCTCTGAAATGGATGGAATTTGGAAAGGTTTCTGTTGATTTTACTTGCACCAAATGTTTCTCATTGGAGACTTTAGTCTTTATGAAATATTTTGGAGGCACTTTTGCTTTGTTGCAATGTAAACTGTCAAGGATTCACCCTTTTCGTTTTCAAGACAGGTTAGAAAATAAACAAGACTCAAGTTCATTTCACTCAGTTTGTCTATTTAATATATAAAATACGGTAAAACATACGCAAAAAGGGTAAGGTCTCAAGGGACTTGGATACTTTGGTACAACAAACACTTTTTTGTAAAAGCGGTATAGAATTTCAATAACATATCAGTGCATACTTTGTATATGAAAATATACACAAATTGTATATCATTCTCAAAAAACAACAAAGAAATATTTTCTTTACAACAAAAACCCAAAGCAGACTAGCTCAACACAATATATTAGCTATAAATTTCATCTTTAGTCTATCATATGCTACATTATTCTGAGTTTTAAAACTCATTTATGATGCATGTCCGTTATCAGTACTGTATGTAACATAAGTCTTGTTGTTACCTGCATTTCATGCATTTACAATTTTCAAATTTTATGAATTACTAATTTCAGTTGTTTCCCGTTTTTATAAATATATTCTATTTCTTAATTAAAACTGCAGCATTTGTCTGGTATTTCCTTCATTGCATTTGCTAATACCACAATAACCGATCGTGCAATTTTCAGCAAGTTGTTTTAAAAAAAGGAAACCAGTACTATGTTTATGATAAAGAGAAAATAACAGAAAAAACTGACTTTCCTACACATAATAGCAATAATAATAGACAATGGAACTGTCACCAGCACAAATTAATCCAAAAATAGTGAGATTCTAAAAAACATTGTACACAACAAGTAACAGGGGTGCACGTTTTCATTTCTCATATAGATTGTCTTGTGACTACACAATGCTAGATCGGACAAAGAGCCTTTTTGTACATGAACAAACCTGCATGAGGCAGGATGCTGAAGCCAATCGGTGTGGTGTTACATTACAGTCAACCATCAGCGCCCACAAACAGACTTCCCAAAGAAATAGGTTTTCTTTAAAATGGAAATGACTGCGTGGAGAGGAGGGGGAGGGGGGGGAAGGAGATTAGCTGTGTCTGAAGGCTGGTAACACTCATCAGTTGGATTTTTAAATTTAACAGTTTTAGGGGGATATACGCTAATTTGCTTTCTTCACAAGAGTTAGAGATCAATACTGCCGGTTAGCCTAGCTCTGCAGCCGTACGTTAACATGTGAAACCAGATACCAAGCTGAACTGACCGTATGAGCACTAACGTGTAAATGTTATTTAGATGTCACTTCCATCGATGGTGGCTTTGCAGCTATTTTGCCACTAGTTGGTTGACACTTCCTGTAGTTCTTTTCACCAAGTGGTAGGTAGAACTTTGAGCTTTCTCTAAGTGCGTTTCACCTATTTTTGTGCATTTAAAAAAACCTGAGTAGAAACACGGCAAAAGTAAAGAGGAAAAAATTCAGCTCATTGCATTGTCTTCTTCTACAATGATTTAATTAGCCCTACAAACTGTTCTCATCCGTCTAAACTAAAGCGACTGAAAACATCTGGTGGCCGTTCACGTACGCTGGGCATGCACGTGCCGGTGAAAACATGAAGCAGGTGGCCTATTCCGTAGTTGCAGAAGATTTGGTGAAAGTACTATAGACGAAGAACCACACCAGATTTTATTTTGCATGGACCAATAACGAGCTGGGACTGTTACATTCAGTAACAGTTAAGTGGCTGTGGCAGCGGAAAACAGACTGTGAGTCGTTGCAAAGTTAAACGGTAACATACACAGTACAAGTGAAGGCTACAAGTGTTGTTTGCACAGTACAAAATATTTTAATAAAAATACCAAACCAAAAGCTCTGTCGGCAGAATCCTGTTTCTACTTTGCAGCACTTATAAGACCCAATTAAAGAGCCAAACGTGAGCGTCTGCGTCATCGTTTCTAAAGTCCTCCGTTTTTGCCCGTCCACACTAAAACGATACCCGGAGTTTTAAAATGAAAAACGAAGTTGGCAACGTTTTAAAACTTCTCCGTTTTAGGTCTTCGTTTTCGCTGTTTTAGTCAGGACAGGAGGTGCAAACGTAGCAAAAGGTCTCCGTTATAAAACAAACGCACTAGTGTGGATTGATTTCAACCAACCAACTCCTAATATTCACATTAGAGAATGGAATCACACATTTTCTTAAAGATTTTCTGGAAACTTGTTCAAAATTTGGCCAGAAACGTGACTTCTAACGATATGACGTGAATGCTGCATTAGAGGAGAACTTCAGAGGCGCTCATAAGTGGATTGTGTTACCTTTTGGACAGCGGTTTTCCCCTATTTCCTGCTAAGATAACCGGCTGCTGGTTGTAACTTCACATTTACCGCACAAACATGAGCTGAGTATCGATCTTCTCATCTAAGTAAGAAAGCAAATGAGCGAGTTTCCCAAAATGTAGACCAGTTCCTTTAACAGTTTAAGAGGCCTAATTTCTCCAACACATCTTTACTTAAAGTGTTTGGTGTTAAATTGTTTAGCAAGGATGATTGAAAGGAGGGCAAAACACAGCACTAACCTGAAATTAAAGTTAAGCGAAAAGCAACCCACCACACTGTCAAGTGAAGGACGGGAAAAAATTACCTCCTAATGGAAACATCAACAAACACTGGTGTGAAAGTGTCACAGGATGAGGATGTTTTCGCCACAAACCCACAGTGTCGGTGTTAAACGCTGGTTTCACACTCTGCTGTGTGCTGTGACTAATCGCACCAAACGGCATTAATTCATGAAAGCTGCCGTATCCACTACTTGTGTAAAAGTGTAGGGTTGTTTAAGTAGATAATAAACAGTCAACCAACAGCTGACACACCGGTCTGCACTTCGGGCATCGTCTGAAGGAAAACAAAAGGTCAAGCAATCAGGAGAAACTTCCTATTTGTAGGCTGTAAACAACCTGTGTTCACACACTCGTACACGAACATGAAATGGTTCAGACAAAACTAATTTGTACTAGAAAACATACAATTAAACAACAAACACAGCACTTGGTAGCCAATTTATTGACTTCATTTGAAAGTGGAAAAAAGGCATGTGTCTGCTTAAAGTGGAAAACATTGTCGATCAAAATATGCGTCAAAGAAGTGCGTTTTTGTTTTTTAATCTCAACTACGCTATAAGTGAACGGCAGTGTCCTAATCATTTCATGGTAAGGTGGTTATGGACAATTTTACTTTGATCGTGGGTTTTAAAAAATGTGTGGTGGGAGAATATGATGACACCACAACCAAGCAGGCCTCTGTGAGTGAGGGACAGAAAGTGCACACACCATCAACACTAGCATCAAATAGGTTTACTGAAACGAGTCCGAGCCACCAGCACTACCTAGTGTGGCGTAACCCCTGCACCGTAGCTCGAAACATTATCAAATTCACACTCATATATGCAAACAAGATCCACTGAGAATCAACACATTGCTTGTTTTTAGGGATACCTAGCAAAGTCTATGCAAATATATTTATATGTACATACACGTCGTTGAAGCTGAAAAGCTAGTTTACTTTTGTCGCCAACTGAAGCGGTAGAAATATAGAAAATGTCTTTTTCCTTTCACTTTTTGAAACACAGCAAAGAGCTAAGGAGCGCTATTGAGAGCGAAAGAGGACATCGAAGCTTTTGTATAAGGAGTGATTTTCATATAAAGTCAGAATTCCTACTTCTGGATAACTATCGGACCTTCAAAACAGATTTTTTTTTTTTTTTTTTTTTTGAGTTACCAACAGATAAAGAACACTTGAACTGAAGGAACCAAATACTTCCCTACCCAAATAAAAGCCACCACAGGCTCAAAAAACTCCTATGCATTTAACTGGATGGCATCTACTCCTAGGTAATAAGCTGAGTGCCTGGCTGGATTTCTGGTGCAACATTTTCCATCCAAGTTCCCGAGTAGATGAGGTGGGAGGACGAGAGGAGCACCCGGTCTGAGAAGAGAGTGGTGGCAAATTCAAAGCCTGAAAAGCATTGACAGTTTCTAAGTTCTCGTTTCCGTGACAGTGCGAGTGATAATTTGTCAGTGTCCCTGCACCGAGTGCGAGAGGCATTTGGCTTCTTTTTTTTTCTTCTTCAATAAAGAGAGGTTGATATTGGCACTCTGGCAAGGTCCTCAAATCCACAGCCACAGAGTGCCACCTGAGGGCTGTTAGGCTGAGGTCGGTCAATGTGGCGGAAATAACCATTCATGGTGAAGTGTCCTTACCTACAAGATCCTGTTTGAGTCTGTTTGCTCGGTGCCAGATAGAGGCCGAGTCCTTAAACTTGTCCAGATTAAGTTATATCCAAACGTGCAGTTTGGAAGTGACTTACGGAAGAATGGACAGCCAAGCGACGTTGGATCACAAAGAGCAGGAAGTGGTGAGTCATACGGCAGAAGTCCCATAATGTCAACAAGCCACCAATCACGTTGTGAACAATGTAGCAGAGCTCGATGTAAATACATGAAGGTTATGCAGAAACCATGTGAAAGATACATGTTTTTATGGTTTCATCAGATTGCAAAAAGGTTTAACACCTCATTTCTACCAAAAGAAACTACTAAATGGAGTCCATTCAAGCAAGAAGGCTTTAAAAAAATCTACTGTCCCTCTATTCAAGAGCCTACCCGGGACATAATATCCAGCTGAGCACTAAGCCATCCTCTCCTCCCTCAGAGCGTGATCCCCAAAGGATTTTTTAAAAATGTTTTTCTTTTTTTGGCAAAGCCTCGTAAGTCTGGGTGATGCAGCTGAGTTGTATAATTTTGGACAGAGGCAGATGTGTGATGATAGTGTCACATGGCAGTGGGGTCGGGGGGCAGTGGGGGTTAACATATGGGGGTGTGGGCGTGTGTGTTGTAGGTGTTTAAGTGTCACCAAAACTTCGCTGCCGGTGCTGCATGCGACTATGTGACCCAGGCGTCCAATCTCATGCGCTTGATGTTTCCTCCCTCCTGGTCTGATTCGTTCGACGCTCTGAGGAGCTCGGCCGAGGGGCTGAAGTCGGGTGGCACGGACCGGCTGGCGGAGCTGACACTTCCAGTCGCACCGCCTCCACCTGCACCTCCTCCTCCGCCGCCTGCACTGGCGTCATCACGATCGCTGCCTTCAAAGGAGCTGGCGTT